AAACTCTTGCTCTTAACAAGAAAGAAACGTTTTGGGCTCTGCAAGAATCGGTGATCATCATCCTTTTATATAGAGATTACTACACAAAAATAGGAAACCATAATTTCCTTTTCTAAGCTAATTTCCTTTTACCTGTACGTAGGAAAAACTTGGATAATTTCCATTTTCTTTATTTCCTGTCCTTTGTATCTTTTCAACACTGAATTTTCCTTTTTCCCTCGATGGTTTTGGAAATTGGCCTGATTCAACTCTAAGCTTGGTTCATGAAGCTTCTTGCTTCAACTATACGAATGATTGTTCTTTAGAAAATAATAGTATTTTATTTTTTCTTTAACGAAGTGTAGTTTTGATTTAATGATTGATCTATGTTTCATGCAATACAACGTTGTATTTATTAACAACAATGCGTGAACTATTAAATTACTAATCATTGCTGGTAAATATATTGCCTTTGATTCTTTGTCTTTGACCTTGATAGCAACTAAAATTATAAGTAGAGATGGTCCAATGGACCAAATTGTTTAGAAATATGCATAACTCTGATGATAAAATGAAGAGGTATAATTTAGAAGATCTAAAAGGCAAAAGAGAAGAAAATGTCAACGTCTCTGTGCGATCATGTTATGCCATGTGATGTGACCCGTTCGCACTGTATTATGACTTCCTAACACATGCATTTATGATATAACTGCAAACAAAAAGTACCGTAAATCCCTCCTAGTAGTAATACGCAATATTCATATACTCACTAGTAGTAGTAATATCTGTTTATATCGATTATCACAAGGGATTTTTTTCAAAAATGCCATTTCCAAGCAAAAATCTTCGTTTTATGCCATTTAATTTGAAACACTCGAAAAAATGCACAAGCCAATGCGATGTGACGAATTTGCCCCTACCACACGCGTGTTCTATTCACACGCGCGACTGACAACTGATTGACGGTTTGAAAAAAGTTGAAACGTTTTAGTTTCTCTTTCTACTGCTTTATTGGTAATGATAAAATTTTAATTGTTTTGGAGAAGCAACTTAAATAGGAGTTTAAAGGTTTCTGCTAAATTTTGTGTTACTTTCAAGTAAAAGAAAACCTTCCGATTTACCGCCCCAATTGTAAGTGTTCTTGATCTCTCTAATCGAGTTGATCTGCAATATTTTGTCCACATAGTTTCTATCGATTTACTTTTTTTTTTAACTTCTTCTCCGTAAAAAATATTGTGTAAAGCAGACGAAAGATGTCCCCTACGAAGACGGGGTCGAGAAAAATAGAAAAGAAACCGGTTCCGGAGGATAATCTCACAGGCCCTAATGACATA